TGCCAGTGCCGCGGGCTGTCCAGAGGGACATGGCAGTTGTGAGAGCTGCTGCTCCTGATGAGATTCATCTTCGGAAGGATTTTCCTTTAACTTGCCCTTTGAATCAAACCAAAGCTGCAGGCCAGGAGCAGGATGGGACAATGCAGAAATGAAACTGTAAATGAAATGTATGAAAAATGAATGTATTTTTAAGTATATGATGCAGAAGAAGTCAGCTGCACTCGATGGGAATTGGTGTTTCCTGTTGCTCAATGCAGGATGAAACAATCTGAGGGATAGAGTGCTGGCACACCAAGAATTCCCCCCCCACAAGACAATTTCAGCCTGTCACACAGGGTGTCACAGCAGCAGGGATGTCTAGAGGCCAAACCGACATTTGGAGCTGGACTATCCCTGGCACCAGAGCAAGTCAGACATGTCAAGGTCTTGGCAGCTGCAGGGATGTGACCGTGACACAACAAGCACGGTCACGGAGAGCAATTACAGCCAGCTCAGCAGCCCACTGGCTCTTGCCTGAGAGAGGCTTCTAGGAGCAGCTCTCCCGGCTGCCTGGCTCCAGCAGCAGAGTCAGGGCTTGGCCACACTGAGTTGGAGCCAAGGAGGAAGCAGCATCTCTTCAGGGATGGGAAAAAGCTACAGGGAAAGGGGCACAGAGAGGCAGACACGCGGTCAAGCCACGGGGCTGAGCAGCTCTGCCTTCGGGCTGAGGGTGTCTATGACCCTGCCCGGGTAGCTTGGCCTTGAGCCTGGTTTCACAAGGCGGATGGTGAAGGAGGCTGTTTCTTTCCGGCTACGCAGCAGCACGTGTAGCAGACCTGTGAGGTTTGGGAACAACGGAGCAACTGCAGGAGGAAAAGGCAGCAAACCTGGCAGGGCTCCATCATCCCAAATATGGCCAAAGCCTTGAGCTGAATAAACGAGTGGAACATTTTTGCTTCCTCCTGCTCACTGGCAGGCTGGTACCCACCCCTTTGCTCTGCCCGGGAGGGGAGGGACAGGCCAGCCAGAGCCGGGCCCTGAGTACTGCCACTTTATTTCACACGCTAATCGAAACCAGCCCAACCCCTTCCACAACCAGCCCCCACTTCCCCCCAGCAAGCAGCAGCAGAGGAAATACCATAGCAGAAAAATCCACATCAGCCACCCAGAGCCTAAAGTCAGGGTGGCTTAGCCTAGACACGGTCCCTGGCCCGAGGATCCTCTTTCACAGAATGTTGGGGATCACAGAACAGTCGGGGTATCACCCAGTGCCACCCCCTGCCAGAGCAGGGTCACCCAGGGCAGCCCCACAGGAACGCATCCAGGCGGGTTGGAAACGTGTCCAGGTGGGTTTTGAAAGTCTCCAGAGCAGGAGACTCCACACCCTCTCTGGGCAGCCTGGGCCAGCGCTCCGGCACCCGCACAGCCAACAAGTTTCTCCCCGTGTTTAGATGGAACTTCCTATGCCCCAGTTTGTCCTGTCACTGGAAATCACTGAAAAAAGACTGGCTCCATCCTTCTGACACCCACCCCTTAAGTATTTATAAACATTGATCAGATTCCCCCTCAGTCTTCTGCAGACTAGAAAGCCCCGAGTCCCTCAGCCCCTCCTCATGAGAAAGATGTTCTAGTGCTCTAATCATCTTCCTAGCCCTTGCTGCAGCCTCTCCAGCACTACCTCCCCTCCTTGTCAGCACCGTCTCCACCTCTCTGAGTTCCGATTCAGAGCTGAACCTGCCCAGCAGGTGCCCCCTTCCGAGGGGTGTCCTGTGACCACGTGGAGATGCTCCAACTTGGCAGCACTTGCAGCAGAAGAAAGCAGAGCACCAACTGATCAAACCGCCCCAGGAAGCAGGACCCAGGTCACTGCCAAGGGCAGAGGGGCTGTGCAGCAGAAGAGGCAGGAAAAAGGGACCATCAACAGAAAAGGGCCCGGGTGACACTGTTGTGCACCGTGCCTTGATGGCACTGCCCGTGCTCGCCTGTTGAAGCTCATGGGCACTCCCCTGAGATTCACGACCCAGCCCTGTGCTCAGGCCAACTTGGCACCATCCCTCACTACATGAGGTCATAGAATCATAGAAACATCAAGGCTGGGAAGGAACTTAAGATCATCAACCCGCAGCCCTGCACCACCCTGACACCAAACCATCTCCTGACGTGCCACATTCAGCTGTTTTGAAACACGTCCAGAGGTGGTGACTACGCCACCTCCCTCAGCAACCCATTCCAACGCTTCACCAGCCTTTCGGTGAAGAAGATTTTCCTGATATCCAACCTGAACTTCCCCTGGCGCAACTTGAACCCATTCCCTCTTGTCCTATTGCTGTGTCCTTACAGCCTCTAAGGTCAGTGCCCGATACTGGACCCAACTGTGACGCTCTCTCCCTGCAAAGGGATCCTCTGCTCCTTCTTCAGGCCATCACGCACCACAGAGCACAGCACAAGGCAGTGGGTGAGCCAGGACCCAGCAGAGGCTTCACCAAGGGTTGTGAAGATGGAGAGCAGCAGGAGCAGGGCACTTGTATCGGAGGAAGTTGCCGCTTTCTGCCTCACGCAGTGAGCCAGGAAACAAATCAGTCGTGTTTTTCCTCTCCAGTTGTGCATTTGCGGAGCAGAGCAGAACTTGCCCGTTGTCAACATCATGGAGCAAAACCTGCTGGAAGCAGTTTGCAGAAATCTAAATGCTGGACAAGGTATGAGTAATGGTCTCGACCAGGATTCTGTTCAGCAGCAAGTGACTGTAAAGCTTGCATCTTAGAAGAGCTAGTTGTTTTCTGCACACTGAGTAAACTGAGATAAAGTTTTAAACTGAGATAAAGTTGTTAAGAGGTAACAAGGAAAATGTAAAACCGCTCTGACAGATGGCCCCAACGATATCAAATGAAGAAACTGTGGGCTACCAACTGTCACTAGCCAGAGGGCTATTATCAGTTCCACACAGTTGCCTTTTACAAAAGGCAGGCTGGGCAGAAATGCCCCTTTTACTAGAGATGCATGGAACTGGATATTCCCCTGCAAAAAAAACCCCCAAAACTAAAAAACAAAACCAAACAACAAACCAAATGACCTACAACCCAAGGGGAAGCTGTTGGCACACAGCAAACGATTCGCGGAAGTCACGTGAAGTGCCTGTGCTAGGAGCACACAAAACCCCATCAAACCCATCATCCCGGGCTGATGATTAAGCGTAACAAGGGAAGAGCAAACGAGTACTGCAGGTAAAGGAGAGCTCTTTCTGCAGTTTAACACTTCATCTGAAACATTCACACGGGGCTCTTCCCTGACAGGGAGGAGGCCCCTGAAGGGATGCTCCCGCGTACTGTGTCGGCGCTCGCTGAGCTCGCTGGCACATCTCGCCTGTGGTACCTCACAGGAGCTGGTCAGTGCAGGGCAAAGAACTTTTCGGGAGCTGACGCTGGCAGGAGACAGAAAAGCTTTACAGCACAGCAACGGTCACTGAACCAGTGCTTCCACCTTCCCCAGTTACGACTGCTTGACCGTAGCCGGAGTCCTGCACTGCTCTTGAAAAGATTCAAAGCCCGCTGTGAGCTTCCTCCCTGCTGCTCGCCATGGGCTGAACCCCGTGCTGGATCGAGGTGACAGCTCTTGGCACTGCTCACTGGGCAAATCTCTCTGCCATGCTGTGGCCTAAATGATGCTTCAGGATCTGCCCTGCACAGCCGACGGCCGGGCTCTGCCTTCGCGGACAGTCCCTGCGAGCACGGGACACCCACCCCGCTGCGTGCGGGGCTGCTCAGGCCCCGCTGCTCCCGCGTCCCCACCACAGATGCTCAGGGAGGCACAATAACGCTCTGGCCCATCCCCGCTGAGAGCTGGTGGACAGAGCTACTGGGAAAACACACCACTGGTTTCCCATTCGCACCCACAGCGTATCGAGCCATCCCACGTGACATCAGAGATTTTATTAACATTTATTTTTAGTCTTCAAACTTCTCGCTGGGGCTTGTGACACTCATTTTCTGACTCTCCCTGTTTTAGCCGTTACCCTGGCCTCTGGGCAGCGCTCCCGGGCTCAGAAAGGCAAGGTGTTCAGATTCAGCACCTTGCATTGCACCAGGCCCCCCACCCACCAGGTTTAATCTCCATTTCCTTCACGTGGCGTGACTGGAAGGAAGGGCAGGGGACGCAGAGACACAGAAGCAGAAGAACTCAGGGCCAGGCGGATGATTCCTGTGCTGTAGGACAGAGAAATGCTCCCACAGAGAAGGTGAAGCAGGCAGTGGAACCACTGCTCAAACAGCCCATTTCCAGGATTTTCCTTGTCTTCACTGTATTATGAAATTGTTATCAGAGTAACTGAACACCCTGGTACGGGACAGGCTAACAGAGAACGAGCTCCTGGCAGATCTTCAAGTTACAGAGCCAGCACTTTTACAAAGACACTGGAGAAAACTGGTGGCCCCTCCTTTCAGAAAGGTCTTGCCCTGGGCTGGCGTGGGCATGATACACCATTGCTCACCCACCAGGAGAAACGCTGCTTCCCTTTCCTCCAGGCTCAAGCAAGGCCAGGGCCTCTTTGACAAACCCAGAAGTAGCTGGGAACCTCAGCGAGGAAATGACCCATCACAGCCAAGATATGAGTCAGAAAAGCCAGTAATGACTGGAGTCACCAGCTTAGGCCAGTGTTAACGGCCGGTTCTTCAAAGGCCACACGTACGCAGGCAGCTCCCACGACGGTATCTCTGCAAGATGACAGAGAACAACTGACACGAGATGTGTCGGGATGACCAGAGCTCTAGTGCTTAAGACATTCTTCTCCTCTACCATTCTGCAAATGTCACTGAAACCCTTCACAGATGTCACGATATACAAGGCAGACAGCTACGTACGAGAGGGTGGACAGCAAAGATTCGGGCTCTTTAGCTGCTTCTCCAATACAGCTTTTCTGAAGAGAACATCAGTTCTGGAAAATTCCTAAGAAGCAAAAGACAATACGGTAACAACCAGCAATGCTGCTGGAAAGCTGCTTTTGTGGAGCAGGCAGGAGCTCAGAGGGAGGCGAGGGAAGCACCGCGGTCAGTGTCAGGCACCAACGTGATGCTGATGTGGAGGCACCTCTTACTGCTCTACTGATCACGGGACCTGCAGGGAAGGCTAATTTAGAGGACCGTGACCCAAACCACACAGTTGTCTATCTTGAACTCACCACAACCTTACTTCATGCTCTCCGTCTTGCTCCAGCATCTGTCCCCTACACCAGGCAGGAAGGTCCCTGTGATACCACACAGCTCTTACGGGTGAGGAGCTGTCCCTGATGTCGAGCAGAACTGAAAGCAGCAACTTTTGCCCCCCTTTACCTAACACTGCTAGATTGAGTTTTGAGATCAAAGAAGTTACAAATTACCTGACTGCATCAGACGGCTTTGGGAGAAAAACTCTTGAACAGATCTGACCTCTGAGCCCAGTAATAGCCGCTGCACAGCCCAGTTCTCTGGCTTGTCCTAAGCCGCGTCTTCCAGGCCAACCCTCTGCCGTGGTCTTTCCCTGTGCCCCTGCATCAGGCGTTTTGAAGCACTTGGTAGAACTGCACGAGTGCACACTCACCTCCTCTGTGCTGGAGGTAACTCCTGCTCTCCTAAAAGGCCCCGGGAGAAGGCAGCTCCTCCCCAAGAAGTCATTCTTCACGCATGTCATCACTGGGTCTAGCGCATCTTACCGCACAGCAAACTGGGAAGAGAACTTCTGTCGGCTCGTTACTGGCTCTCGGGATGCCTGGCGGGTGCTGCACTCTTGCATTTCAAACCCCAAAAGAGATGACAGGTCACAGCGACAATCCAGTGCGTGCTGCGAGGACGGATGTGTCCAGAAAACATTGCCATTATTCTTTAGTTGCAAACTCTTCTCCACTTCTTCGTTCCCATCTCAGCATTCCACTTTGCAGAGACTGATTCAGATCACCAAGCTGGCTGCCTCCTTTTTCAATACTTCCTTTAACACAGGAATTAACTGCTAACGACACCAACACTTCAAACGTGAGACCATAAAATGAACTACTTAGCCTGTACCAACTATTTCTACCTACAGCAGAGCAGGAGCTTGCACATGAATTGAAGATTCAGCCTCCTGCTGGAAGTGGAACTGCCCCGGCTGCTTAAAGGATATGGCTGGATTGGGAAGAAATAGCCTAAATACTGCTAAATTCAGCAAAGCTCGGGGACCCCTCTCCATCCTACGCTGCAGGCACCGTGGCTATCCTTAGCCAAGTCCCAGCTCACTGTTTTCCACCACAGCTCTCCAGTGAGCCCAGGACAAGCTGCAGGGACAGAGGGTGACAGGGGATGGGGCATTCAGCCTGCCCACGGCCACCCCAGGGGTCAGAGGCAGGAGACTGGGCTCTAAAGCACAACTTCTGCAGAGAGAGGATCAGGCCAGAACCAGAGAAAACTTCACACCGAAAACAAAGGCAAGTGCTGTTTCAAATCCACTGTTAAGTGTCACTCCTGTGTGCAACAGCACGAGGCAGCAGGGCAGGTCACAAGCAAAGAACCTGGAGCAGCTTCAGGAGCTGGTCACTAAGAACAGGAGCCGCCGCGAGAGCTGCCTCCGTCACGGCAGAAATGCTCCAGTAAACCACAAAACAAGGTACAGGCTCAAACGCAGAACTGCTGACTGCGAACGAACACACTACACTCTCCAAACTGGCAAAATCCGCATTTAATTTACAACATAGTAAAGATTACAGGTAAAAAGCTCAACAGAAAGTGTGAAAAGGCCTATTACATATTACACAAGTGTACAAACGTCTGTACAAAGCCCCTCGATGTTGTATTATTCCCCCCTGAACAGGCCAGCTATGGCCCCTAAGCTCTAAAATAATGAGAGCTTGTTCAAACCCAGGGAGAAGAAGAGCTTTAAAAAACAACGAGCAGTAAGTTTCCCTTTTCAAGAAAAATCTTGCAAAGAGCCACTTGCAAAAAAAAAAAAAACAAACCAACCAAAAATCTACCACCCCACCCCCCCCAAACAAAAAACCAAAAAAACAACCCAAACAGAAAAAAAGGAAGAAAAAACCTGTTCAACTTTTACTTGTCCTACCTAGCCTTACCCTAAAGAATTGCCTTCATAAAGCAGACTGGCTGGAAAAAGAAAATTCTACATGCCAGAAAGAAGCGAAACTATTTAAAAAAAAAAAAAGGCAGAAAGATTTTTTTCAGAGTCAGCATGGAGTGTCTGGAAGCAGAACGTCTTGAGGACTGAATATTCAATAGCAACTAAACACAGAGCGGCACAACTCTCTGGTGGAGAAGGTCCTGCATTCGTCCCAACAGGGGTGTGAGCTGGGTGTGAGGGTGTGGGGAGGGGAGCAAACCAGCCCTTAAAGCCATCGCTCTTGGGAAGGGGACAGCTGCTGGCTCGTTTTTACCTAAATAACATGATAGGAGCAATCGCTCTGCGGATGCAGAAATCCTCCTGATTTTGCAGCATCTGTCCGAGACAGGGCTGAGCACGCGCAGCACACCAGGCGCGAGCGCCAGCGCCCGTCGGATTTTCCCAACCCTACTTAGGCTGTCCGTAACCCACAGCCGGGTGACACTACTGTCGTTTTAGTGCACATCTCCTGCAGAAATCCCCCAAACAGCAAAGGAATGTGACTGCGTAGCTGAGCTGCGTTACAGAATGTAAAAAACTCCAGAGTAAACCTAAGAAAAGCAGAGCTCTGGCCTTACCTTGTATCAGGTAAAGACAAAGAGCCTGAATACACGTGATTTTGAAATGCAAACCCAAGAATGTGAAGGGCTACAGCAACAATCCAAATGAAGCTTCTCATTTTATTCAGTGGGGAAAAGTTAAGAAGTAGTCAAAGAATGTACTATTACGAAACCAACTTGTGCACTGCTTTATTGAAGGCGAGGCAGATACTCTGCCCAGAGTTCATACTCCAGCTTTAAGCAGCGCTCGGTTCTCGTGCACTGTCACCAGCAGCCAAAACAGTGAGCAGGTTGAGGTTTTAGGTGTTGAACACTCAAGCCCTCTGACGCTGCTGTTGGCTGCCTATTTTTATGTGCGTCCTCTCGCATCTCACACGCATCCTCTCAGCTCACGAGTTCCATTTGCAAATAAAAATGAAAGTACTGAAATTCAAAGGGCCAACCAAGCTTAAAGGAAACTGTTATGAACTCCACCCTAAGTTATCACAGGGAAGAGGCAGCACTGCTTTGTTGGGTGCCGTTTGCTCGGTGTAGATAGTGCCGACCCACCAGGGACAGGCTGTGAGCTCGTCGTGCTCGCACGCTGCCACCAGCACCCCCCCAAGCTCGGGCCCACCTCCGCGTGCGCTCCCAGTGCCCAACACCGGAGCGCCGCTCCGGAAACCCGCCTAGTTCTTGTCTGTCTCAACTCCACGTTCTCACGAACTAACGGGATGCTGTAGTGTTTCAGGGGGAGATTAAAACAAGCTGTAGCCAAACTAAAAGAAAAAAAAAAATTGAAAATAAAGTAATAATAAAAAAAATTGCCAAACACTGGTGGGCTTTCAAAAATGTAAAAAAACTACATCTGACCTATGTTTTGGAAGTTTTAGAACTCATACCAATGGGATTTCTGAAAGGCTTGGCCCCACAAACATTTACTTCTGATACAGCTGGCCTGTTATGAGCCAGTCCAGCCGGAACAACATGACTTATAGTAAGCACAACACCTAAATTACTCAAATTTGCAGGGTCATGCCACAAATTTCAATCATACGACTCTGTCCCTTCAACTTCTGAATCAAAACTTAGAGTAAAGACCTCTGGGGACAGTAATGGCTAAGAAAAGGCTGCCAGGTATTTTGGTTCAAAAGAAGATTGGAGCTGTATTTGTGTTTGTTTCTTTTTAAACAGACATATAAAAACAGTTGAAGACAGATCTTTAAAGGATATTTCACTCCTCCAATCTTGATATTACACTGGTTAGGACACTGAAATTTTAAAAAGACGATACCGCACATGAACAGTTTCTCAAGTTCGGAACTCCCACCCTCCCTCAACAAAACCCCAGCTCAGATCAGCAGGGAAGGGGTCGGCTTCTTGCCCGGCCACGCCTCCTTCGCATACTTCTTCTTCTTGGGTTCGTTCACAGCTTCAGGATTGAAGACAGCGGGATTTGGAGCCGGGTTCATGTTCACCGTCGAGGGCACAACGGGAGTCAAGTCCACATCTGGGGCGAGGTTGGGGTAGGGCATCGGCAGCCCCCCGATGAGCG